GTGATGGGACATGCCTGTAATCTCAACTGCTGTGAAACTGCAGCAGAAGGATCTCCAAGTTTGAGCCCAGCCTGCACAGCATAGCAAATCCCCATCTCACAAAAATTAATTAAGTTCAAAACATAAAAATGGCATGTTTCCAATAGCAACCACTAAACACAAAATATCTAGAAATAAGATTTACAAGGCATATATAAAGGAAAGTGTAACATTTTACCAAAAAAAATTAAGGACAAAGAATTTGAGGGATGGACTTCTTTGAATAAGAAGACAAAACATGTTATATAAGAATTAATCTTGTGATATTTTCAATATAATTCCAGCCAAAATTTTTCTGGAGCTGGATAAAATGAAAATACTTAAGAACCCTGTAAAGCTCAGGTGTGGTGGTGCTCACCTTTAATCCCAGCACTCAGGAGGCAGAGGCAATAGGAACTCTGTGAGTCTGAGGTCAGCCTGGTCTACACAGCAAGTACCAGGACAGCCAGAGCTATGCAAAGAGACTCTGTCTAAAAGGGTGAAGGGGGCTGTTTAAGAAGTACACGTTATTTTACTGCAATGATGAATAATACAAGCAAGGCACCATGGAAGTTATTTGCATGGTGCATGGAGTCCCCGGCTATACATTTATGAAATACTGATAAATCTACAAAGAAAATACGTTGATCTTCAAATTTAAAAATTTTTAATATAAGCAAAAAAAATCAAAAGAGAAGGAATACCATGACTATGAAATTAAAGCTCAATAAATTAATAAAATGAATGAAAATACAAAGATATAATACTTTGGGGCCTTCTAATGAGATAAAGAAAGACATTGAGCCTATAAAATATCAGATACTATAGAAAGCCATTTGGTGAATATGTTTATGTCTGAAAAAAGCAAAAGGATTTTATAGAAAAAAAATTTAAGAAGACTCTTTGGTGGTATCATCTCTTTATTCCTTGTGGGCTCTAATTAACTAATTAATTAGCTAATTAATTAATTATTTTACAAAGAGCTTTCATCACTCTTAGAAGCAGACAGGATAACGTGGCTAATACAAACTAAAAGTGTAGGCCCTTTTCTCCTCAGTAGGCGTCTGGTCAAGGTGATCAATGGAACCCGAAAATAGAATTGGAACTTCCACAGACCAAGGACACATGTCCAAAAGTTCTCTGACTCAATAAATTTAATGTCTTTTTTTTTTCAAAGCTGTATGGACTACCTTTTTCTTTTTAAATATGTTACCCCAAAGCAAAACTTCTCTGAGTGCACACACACACACACACACACACACACACACACACAGAGTAGGGGCCTCAGTTTCTCCACCAGGGAAATAAGGTTATTCATCAAGGCAAGACCCAAGTACACTGTGATTAGTCAGCCCCTGTCCTTCCCGGAAGGAGAAACTAAGTTCTTACCCCATGAATAGTGTGTTTAATCTCCAAATATGCCCATTTCTACCAGCTATGCCAAGGTATCGTGTTGTGTGGTTTTGGCAGCAGTGGGAAAGGGGGGATATGAATTAACATTTATTTACTACAGATAGGGCAGCAATGATGGACCAAAGAATTTCACCAAAATCTAGCTTGGTGAACCAATGTGATGGTTGGGGTAACTTACAGGGCATGGGTAACTCAAAGGCAGCTGTATCCCTAACCCACGCCCCCTCCCAAATATGGGTGCATCCTTGGAGTTCCCTGCCCAACTTGCTTGCAGCTCTCCTAAAGATTTCCTCCTCTGGTACCACCACCCACCCCAGCAACTGTAACTGCTCATCTAACCCTGGGGAATGAGCATTGTAAGGTTTAAGCTTCCAGAGCTGTGGTGGTAGGCTCGATACCCAGTCATCAGTTGGTAATTGGGAAAGATTAGAAACTATGGCCCTGTTGGAGTAAGTGTGACCTTGTTGGAGGAGGTGTGTCACTGGGATGGGCTTTGAGGTTTTAAAAGCCCACACTAGGCCCACTCTCTCTGTCTCTCCTCTGTCTCTCTCTCTCTGTCTCTCCCCCTCCCACCCCCATCAGAATGCAGAGCTCTCAATTGCTGCTCCAGCATCACACCTGCCTTCATCCTGCTGTGCTCCTCACCTCACCATGATGCTAATGAACTAACCCTCTGAAACTGTAAGCCATCCCCCAATTAAACTCTTTCTTTATGAGTTGCCTTGGTTGTGGTGTCTCTTCACAGCAATAGAACAGTGACTGAGAGAAGAGCCTGGTAAGTTTCTTGAACTTCTTGAGTCTTATGAGCCTTCCTCCTCCCTCTAGGAGGGAATATTTCAATTCAGAAGAAATAACTATACAATATATGCCCGCCTTCTCTATGGCGGCCATAATCAAAATGCCAGGCAGGACACTGACCATTTTCCTCTCTCTAACACAGCAACTTGGAGCTAGGGCCACCCTCCCAGCACAGTCTAGCTCACCAGGAAGTCCCAGAAACCCAGGATCAGCAAAAGCATGTGACTCCACCACTGCAGTGCTGACCAAGGCAGGAGGAGACAGTACAGGGATCTTTTTGGCCCAAGATTTAGTGGTCCTTAGCCCTGGCTCCTTGTTGGCACCTCCCAGACGCTTCTAAGTAGGATATGCATGATTCTGACTTCACTGACCCAGAATAGGGCCTAAACACAGACTTTAAATCTCTAAAGTACACAGGAGTTCAGAGCCTCTGAAGTGAGCTAATTCTGATCCTGACTGACACTTTTGGTTAGCATGCCTTCCCCAGGCCCATGAGAAAGTGGGTTTTCCTCTGGCTGTGCTAGGAGCCACACAGCAAAGGCGTTCCTAAGCTAGTCCAAGCTCCAGAAGGCAAGGACTAAGTTTTCCTTATCCTTGTGTCTCCAGAGCTCAGTCGGAAGAATAAGATGTGTGTGTGAGTGAACAAATGGATGAGTCCCATTCTCTCCCACCTCCTGAGTGCCCCAACATCTAATAAGTGAGCTGCAAAGCATGGAGGCTGTATCGCTGGAAGATTGTTCAGAAATGCAGATTTTCAGATCCTGCTCAACTCCACCAATGAGAATATACGATCTGACAGCAATCCCAGGTGATTCGAGTGCCCAAGGCAGCATCCCTGCTTCTGCCATGTCTTTGTGAGTCTCCACGCCCCTGGGGTAAAATTGTTTGTGAATGTGCATTACCCACCCATCAATCTGCAGCCCAGGTTCGGAAAAAACATGTACTGTAGATCTGCCTGCCACACAAACCTCCTCAATGCAGGCCAAAGCTTGGCTCTAGCTTACCTAGAGATACCCTCTCTCCCGATCCTGCTCCTTTGTGCCATGAACTCCAACCTCGATGCAACCCTAAACTGTGCGCTACATAAACCCCAACCTGGTTCAAATCCCACCTCTGCCGCTTTCCATTAAAATAGCTGTAAGCAAGTGACCCCAAGCCCAACCTATGCTTGAGAGAAGATGCAAAGGCTTAACGTAGCGAAGTGCTCAGCACAGTAGCCCTTACCAGAGAGTTCCCCAGCCTCCTCTGTAAGAGGCTTCCTAATAGCAATTTACATAAAAAACCCCAAACCTGGACATTCTGCTTCCACAGAGAAGGCAGAGGAAATTAGACATGTGCCTTCTCTCAGGATGCTGAGGGGAGAGGTTCAGCAATTCAAGCCAGCCTGGGCTGTAAAACAAGATCCTATCTGAAAAGAGGAGAGGGACTTGATGGGAAGGAGGAGAAGAGGGAGGTAAAGAGAAAGAGGAAAGTTAGAAAACAAGTAGAAAGAAGCACAATCATTTTTACAAGATTTCTCTTGAGCAAACCAAGGCGGCTGCGTGGAGGGGCTTAGCCCTCTGCCTTTCGCTTTGATTACCTGCGGAAGAAAAATAACTGTCACAGAAGAACACGGGCCTGGACCACTATGTCCTGAACAGGGACAGCTCTCCATTCCAGATTATAGTGTGTGTGTGTGTGTGTGTGTGTGTGTGTGTGTGTGTGTGTGTGTGTGTGTTCTAAAGGGGGAAGGGCTTCTGTGAGGAAAGACGGTGTTCTTCCTCCAGAGGGCTGCAGGAACACCCGTCCCGGCTGCAAACTGTCAGACCGGCGCTGCTCCGGGTCTCAGGTCTCAGCGAGGCCGCTGCCCTCTGCGGCAGACGGCGGTGCGCGCTCCCCGCTCCAGCACCAGGCTGGCCCGGCAGCCCGCGCGCTCTGCCGGTGCAGCATGCGGGCGCTGTGACGTTCTCGGATAAATGCCGTGTAACTGTGTAGGCGAATGGGAGCTAAAAATAAGAACGGAAAATCTATCATTAAGGTATCATTGCGCCAGCGCAGCTATTTGAAGGCTCCCATGGTCCCCGGCGCCTGCGTTTGAAGCCCGCCTTCAGGCTTCAGGGGTATTTGCTGAAAACTCCCAGCAGCGGCTTGCCAGCCAGACCTTAGGGTTCACTGGGTGACGCCGGTAATTATGGCAACGCTCAAAATGAAATAAAATAAGCGGTCACCTCTACCCTCCCATCCTCACCCCTGTATTCTCAGACCGCCGGCGAAGCCATGGGGAATAGGGCTGAAAACTGAAAGGAATGAGATCCGAACGGTTATGCAAAAACTAGTACATATCCCATCCCTTTCGCCATCCACCTTGGATTAGAAAAATAAAGTACGGGAGGAAGGTGAGGGGAGACTTTAGGAGAGAAAATGACAAATGGGGCTTACCCTAGGTCTAGAGTGCGCCGCGGCGGGGCGCAAAGAACGCAAACTCCGGGGATGGTGAGTCTCCGGGTGTCATTGGGTTGAACGAAAATTGATCTGATTTGGTTTAGAACACCCGAAGTGGAGAAGAGGAGGACAGGGAGGGAGGACGAGTCGTGTGTGTGTGTGTGTGTGTGTGTGTGTGTGTGTGTGTGTGTGTGTGTGTGTGTGTGTGGTGTGTCCAGGGAGGGGGAGGAGGAGGCGCCAAGGTGCAGCCTGCGTGCGGCTCTGCGCCTCGGCGGGGCTGCGTGCGTGTGTCCCTGTCCGCGCTGCTGAAACGGGCTCTTCGAGGGATCGGCGTCACATGACTCCGCCTGCCCCTAGCCAGCGCGCAGACCGCCCGTCCCTCAGTTTGCTGGGGGAGGGTCGGGCGACATCTCCCGGGGCCCCGGGGCTCTGCGGAGAGGAGAAGAGGTTCCAGCAAGGAATGGTCCATCTAGGTTCAAGAAACCCCAGCTCGGCGCCAGGTCCTGGAGTGTAGATCTCGAGAGGGGTGGGTGGGGGAACAAGAGGGAGCGATCCAGAGAGCGCCAGAGAGAGGCAGCGCGGCGCGCACCGACGAAGGGCTGCTGGGTGCCGCGCGAGGAAGATGTAAGCGCGTGGGGTCTCGCTGGCCTCCGAGCACCATGCAGAAAGGGATCCGGCTGAACGATGGCCACGTCGCGTCCCTGGGACTGCTGGCGCGCAAGGACGGCACGCGCAAAGGCTACCTGAGCAAGCGGAGTTCGGACAACACAAAATGGCAAACCAAGTGGTTCGCGCTGCTGCAGAATCTGCTCTTCTACTTCGAAAGCGACTCAAGCTCTCGGCCCTCGGGGCTCTACCTGCTGGAGGGCTGTGTCTGCGACCGCGCGCCCTCCCCCAAGCCCGGGGTCTCTGCTAAGGAGCCGGTGGAGAAACAGGTGAGGAAGCGCCGCGTCCTGACCTCCCGCGCCCCTGCTAAGGCCCTGCGGGTTCAGGGCCTTCCATCCTGCTTCAGTGACCGAACTTTGACCCTTCTACTTTAAGCATCTAGGACGCTCTCAGCATCTTCCGCGGGAAGGACCAGCTGGACAGAACCGGGAGGGTGACCCTAGGGCGGGCAGAGGAGGCAGGGACTGACTGCGGGCTGGGCGCTGCTAGGAGCTGCAGCCGCCCTTGGCGGGGTGAGCCCCGTAAGGGGCGGGGACAGGGAGGCTGAAACTTGGAGATACCGATGGAGATGGGGTCCAAAGGGCCGACACGGGCAAGGAATCTGATCAGCGTCTGACCCAAAATGGTGCCCCTACCCCCATCCCCACCCCCACAACAGCCCTGATAGCTGTGATCTTCTGCCTGAGACCTGGGATTCCTTGCGCTTAGGCTTGGGAAGGGTGAGACAGGCGTCGGAGCGTCGCGGTCCCCTGCCTCCCGCAGCTAGGGGCGAAGAATAACCTGCGCTAGCCTGGCCGAGTTGGGGATTGCAGGGCCTGGGGGATCGTTTTTGTGCGATCGAGTGATGATGTGCTCCCAGCTGGCTCTGGCCCCGCTAACAAACCCCAGGGTTCCAAAGACCGCTATGATGCGCCGGGGCCAGGGCCAGGGTTGCTGCGGAGCCGTGGGACAAGTGGGCTCCTCTTTCCTCCCCCGCCCCCTGCGCCGCCGCGTTCGCCGCAGTCGCCGCTGTAGCGCTGCGCTCCTTCACCCTCTCGCTGGCGTTACCCAAACAGCAGGTCTAAAGGGCCAGGCCGCGATCTACCGCGGGCAGGGACCTGATAGAAGAGCATTGAGGGAGGAGGGGCACCTGCAGCCGCCCGGTGGGACCCCTCAGACCGGGAAAGCTATCTTTAAGCTTGATATCTCTCCCAAGGCATCTGGTCCCTGGCCTCTGGGAGGAAAGGAAAAGTACATGACAGTGTATCCAAAAATGTCATCACTGGGAGAGAGGCCTGACATCCACAGGGCTCAGCCACCTGGCTATTGCCTAGATGGGGACACTGAGGCCAGGGAGAGAGAAATATTCTCTTGCCCAGTGTCATAGCAGGAGTCAAAGCCACCCAAGGTTCCGAGAAGACAACCAACCGAGAACTCAAAAGCACACAGGCTGCTGGCAACTGAATTGCCTGGGATGAAAGTCTCCCTTGAAATCTCCTCCCTAATTAGAACAGAGATCTGAATCCCTTCAGCACTCTCCTTATGCCTTGCACTCAGCTCCTTAGTGTTAGGTGACAGTTCCTGGGAGCTACAAAGTGTGGGCAGGAATTTGGGGGAAGAGGGAATGACTCTGAGAGTGACCAATCAGGAGGCCAGGCAGAGGCTCCCAGATGGCAAGGAACAGTAGTTCCTTTAGCTTGTAGCCAAATGGAGCCTCCTGGGCTCAGCTAGAACAGCCAGACCCAGGCTGCCAGCTCTCTTGCTGTCTCCAGCCACAGCACACCTGTATCTACCGGTAGGCTGCACCCCCAGCCTCAGCCAGGGCTCCCTCCATGACCCAGCTCCCTATATTACAGTGGGAACTGAGTTCCTGGGTGGGAAGGAAGGCAGGAGCAGGGAAGCTAAGTTGGTGGAGGCCCAAAGCATCGGCTCTCAGGTCCTTCAACTAGAACACTGACAACCTGGAGGCTGAATCTCAGCCGAATGGCTTCTTGGCTGTGTGGCTTCAGTTAACACACAGAAGTCCTCTGGAACTGTTTTGAATACAAAAGGGAAACAACACTGACCTTCCCTAGGGCTTCGGGAATACAAAGCCAAATTACATGTATGAAAAGAGGCTCACAATACAATTTAGTGGGATCCTAGCTGGATTCTTTTAGGTCAATCCACGCTTCCCGTTTTTTTTTTCTCAGGCTGAGAAACTGAGGATGATAGAAAGAAAGGGAGTTGCCCAACATCAAAGGAGTCTGGCAGAATAAGACCTAGAGGTGACCCAGTGTCTAAAACTCCTGAAAATAGGGTCCCATGTTGATTCCAAGTTAGCCAGCCCTCATCTTGGATACTGATCGTGGGACAGATGGGAATGCAGGCCAGTTAGTGTCATGCACACATGTTCTGGGCCATTTCCCAGAACCTGCAGTCACTGGCTCTCATAAGAGAAGAGGGCAAGTGGGGAGCAGTGGGTGATGACCTGCTGTGGCCCAGCTTGGCAGGGCCTTGCTAAAGACTCCTGCTTTATCTCACGCACTCATATCCAAGTTCCCTTCAGCTCCAGAATAAGTTAGCAGCTATGGAGTCATAGTTCCCACTGCTTTGACCCATTCTTGTATACAAAATTCATTATCACCCCCCTACCTTTGAGTAAAACCTGTGGCCCCCACAGCTGCTTTGTGTTTCTCTTGGGCATGGGCACCCCATGGAATAAACCGGAGAGCTGGGTGGTAGAAGCCCCAGGCCACTCTGCAACCAAGTTTGGACCTAAAACAAATCTTGACTTCATACTCACTGGGCATGTGGCCAAAGCACCCAAATTAATGAGCCTAGAAAACAAAATCAGTTTGGCAAGATTAGCTGGTATCTGGTGGAACTCAGTTTTAAAGGGGCTACACTTTTACCCAAGTCTAAACTCATGGGAACAGAGATGATGTCTGAGCTGGGAACTGCCACTCCAGGGTTGAGGACCAAGCACATAGCAGATTGAGCTGGACATGTTTGGAGTGTCATATGTTACTACTGTATTTCATGTCCTGAGGACTGACTGAGTGCAGGGCACTAGGCCTAAGAAGCTGGTGATCATGGATGTTGGGATCCTGGGGAAGATAAATACAAATAAGGAGGTGTACCATATCCTGTGAAGACCTTGGACTACTGGATTGCAAGGTGTTCTGAGAGCCCAGGCTGATTTGATTCCATCTCACCCAGCTGTATCCTGATTGGTCTGACTATGTTTAAAGCAAGAGGATTTTGTTGCACACTGGCTCTGGCCCCCCAGGGTCTCCTAAAATGAGATAGATGCATCTTGTCCTCCACCTTGCTGGGCTGCTGCAGGGTGCCCCTCCCCCTCCCTGTGGCCTGGACTCTGCTTACTCAGCCCTGACTGCCTCTCCTCCTATCCCTAAAACTACATCCCAAAGCCTGGGTGATTTGACCTCTCAGAGCTTGGATTCAACATGCCTAGAGATTGGCCCTGGGGGCTCCACACCTTGTTTATGAATAGTCATCCCCGGTAGCTTTTCCAAACTACCTGAAATAAAACTTCTAGTGCCAGATTCTCAGTAAGAGGTCTTGCTAAACTAACCCCAGTACTGCCTGTACTCCTTCCAACCAGGAAGGGCCAAATGTGGACCTAAGGTGCCTTCTGATTCCCTAGAGGGAGAAAGGCTCCAGGCAGATGCCAATTCCTCTGAGCCTGATATAGGCTTAGGCTCCATGAGCTGGAAACCTCTGAACACCTCTTCTCCACCAGGCCAGTGTTACTTCCTAAATGAAGTGCTACTCAAGGTCCTAATTTATAGGGAACATTCCTAGTTGGCCTGGTATATTGAGTGCACCAGTTTTACAGGTGAGCAGACTCCTCAGTGGCCACTCACCATAGCAGCAACCATGAGACTCGCTCCTCTGACTTCCCCTCTCTGCAGCTATGCCAACCAGCCTCACCACCCTCCAGAGCTGGAACCTATTCAACTCCTCCACCAGCCAGGAAAATGCAAGCCAGAGTGCGGGAGAACGAGGCCACTCTAGAGGCAACACCCTTCACACACAGCTTTCTGTGACCCGAGCATACCAGGCATGAAGGGCAGGGAATCAGTAGCTCCAACGTGAGGGTCTCTACCTGCAGGAAGCTGGCAAGGCTGAGCTGGGGTGCCAACATGTGTGGTGACTGGTTCTGGAGTCACTGTGTGGGGCGTTCCTTTACCCACCCTACCTCTCAGCAAAAACAAGGTTGAAGAGGCTCCCTGAGGATGCCTCTCATAGGAATGGGACAAAAAAAGTCTCTACTCCCTGCCACATGCTTGTTGGCAGTAGGGTAAGGGTCAGGGGTAGGTGGTATGTAGGCCTAAGCTTGAAATCTCACTGTTGGTTTGCCCAGCTTGGCTCTCCACACTGAGCCAGGGTCAGATCCCACAGGTGCAGAGGAGAGAGCTTTGTTCCATGCAGTACCTGCCAAGGACAAGAAACCCTCTATCCCTCCCAAAGAGCCCCTCGAGGACTCTCTCAGCAGCCCCTCTATGGATAGGACCTCTGCCTCATCCCATCTCCATCCACCTCACCCTGTTCCAGTTCCCCTCGAAGGAACAACCAGTCCAGTGTTCTTTTGTTTCTGTGTTGATGTCACTTTTAACCTTTTTGATTGACACATAACATGTACTATTTGTACGTATTTATAAGGTACAGCGTTATGTTCTGATTTGTATCTCTATTAAGGGTTGATCAACATAGCGTAACTGCTCCATCCACTACCTGGACTTTGACATTTCTCACCCAGAGTGCATTCAAATCCCTCCTTCTGCCAGTCATTGCCGAGACAACCCCTTGAGAACAAGCCTGCTGACCCCTCTAATCCAGCCCCACCTCCCCTGCTCCTGCTCCTTCTTGCTCAGGTCACAACTCCTCGTCCTGTACAGCTGTTCTTCCCATTCTCAAAGCACTGGAAGCAGCTCTTCCCTCTGATATGGTGGTCTTCACCCCAGCCTGTACCTGTGGCATGTGGACTCTGGTCCTCTAGCAGGTCTTAGCCTAAAAGTGACTTCTCAGAAGAGAAATCTCCTCTCCCCCATCCTGGAGCCAGTCCAGCCCCAGCTCCAGCGCTGGTGGTGTTTACAGCTCCTTCTTCATCCACATCCGCAGCCACAGTCCATGATTACTTCCCGTACTTGTCTGGTAGCTTAGAGATGGGCATTATCTCCCGCTAAATCCAGATGCCAGGACAGTGCCAGACCACAACTAAGTACTTGGTTCACAGATGTGGAGCCAACAAAGAAAGAGAGAGAGAGAGAGAGAGAGAGAGAGA